GGACCTGAAACGTCAACTCTGTTTTTTCCTTCACAGATGCTGCCAGACCTGCTGAGCTTCTTCAGCAACTTTGTTTTTGAACCTTAATGTTCAGATTGTATTCCGTCCGGACCACTCAATTCAGACCTTTTTCTTCGTGAAAATATTTGCAAGGCTACAAGAAAAAGACAGCAAGCAGTGTGGGCTATCTCTTGGAGTCAGCATGGACATAATGAGCCAAATGGCCACTTGTTTGTATCCATTCTATGAAGAATTACAGCTTAGTCCTGAACAAGGGGACATCCAGCTCTTTCCATGATGTTTTGCTGAGTGCCAAGAAGTTTGTCTTCAGTAGGTTGGAGCTGGGTGGATAGCGTGCTAGTGTAATTCAGAGCTCCAGGCTAATGCTTTGGGGTGATTGAAACCCATCACATCATGGCAGATGGTCACATTTGAATTCAGTAAAACCTGGAATGAGAAATGGTGATAATGTAGCTATTGTCAATTGTCACCGTAACTCACCTGCATTGGAGTTGTATTGTTGGCAGTCCAGAGGACATGCACTAGATTGATTCCAGAGGTGAAGGGTTTGTCTAATGGAGAGAGATTGAACAGTGTGTATACTCTATACTGTCTAGAGTTCAGAAGAATGAGAAGAGATCTAATTGAGGTATATAAGATGATAAAGGAGGTTGACAGAGTGGACATAGAGAGGGCATTTCCTCTTGTGGGGCAGTCTAGAATGAGAACCATAATATAAGGATATGTGGTAGCCGATTTAAAACCAATGAAGAGGAATTACATCGCTCAAAAGCTATGAATCTGGAATTCACTACCACAGTAGTCACAGTGGTAGGATATTGACTAAATTTGAGGAGGAGATTGTTTTTTTTAAAATTAGTTTTGGATTGAAAGATTATAGAGAGCAGGTAGGAAAGTGGAGTTGAGACCAATGAAAGGTTGGTTATTATCATATTGAATTGCAGAGCTGGCTTGAGCTGACTGCCTACTCCTGATCCTAGTTCTAATGTTCTTATACTATACCGCAGGGAAATTCTCAGAATTGTTAGTGTGTAGAAAGAGGCCATTTGGCCATAAGCTACAATATAGAACTACTTACATGCCAAAAAGCAGAAACACCATCCGTGGATAGGGTTAAGCAAATTTCACAACTAACAGATCAGATGTAAGCTTTGCTGTCCTGCTGCATCCAGTCATGAATGGTAGTGGATAATTAATAAAGTAAAAACTGGAGGAGACACCTCCACAAATATCTTCAATGATAGAGTATCCAGCACATCAGGGGAAAAGATGAGGCTGATGTATTTGCAAATATCTTCAGCCAGAAGTGTCACGTGGATGATCTATCCCAGTGTCCTAGGTGACCAACATCGCAGAGGCCAGTCTTCACTCAATTTCATTCACTCCATGTACTATGAAGAAATAGCTAAAGGCAGCAGATTCTGCTATGGGCACTGACAACATTGTAGCAAATATGCTGAAGTTTGATACTTCAGAACTAGTTGTGCCTGGCCAAGCAGCTCTGGTAGAGTTACAACACTGGCAATGAGGAAAATTGTCTAGCTATGTCTTGTCTGCAAAAAGCAGGGCAAATCCAACCCAGCAGTTATGTCCTGTCAGTCCTGTCAAAATTGGAGACAACAGTAATCAAGGGAAAAGTTTTGTGGTGGCCTGAGTCATACCTAGCACAGAGGAATGTGGTTGTGTTGTTGTTGGAGGTCAGTCATCTCAGTCCCAGGATATCACTGCATGTGTTCCTCAAGGTAGTGTCCTACAGTCAACCATCTTCAGCTGTTTCTTTAATAATCTTCCCTTCATCATGAAATCATAAATAGAGATGTTCACTGTTGATTGTACAATGTTCAGAGTTATTTGTGACTCCTCAGATGCTGAAGCAGCTCATATGAATAGGTAGCATCCACGTTTTTGTTAATAAGTGGCAAGTAACATTTATGCCACTCAAATGCCATCCTAAGCAAAAGCGAATATAACCATCTCCCTTCATATTCAATAGCATACCTATCTCTGAATCCCCAACTACCAATGTCTTGCAGATTGCTATTGACCAGAAACTGAATTGGACCAGAAATATAAGTACTGTGGTCAGCAGAGCAGATCAGAGGCTAAGTATTATGTGCCAAAAACCCAAATCCAGACTCTCAATGCCTGCACAAGTCTACAAGGCATCCTATTGATTGGTGTCCTATCCACTACCTTCCATGTTCATTCCCTTCACGAACCATTTACGATGACAGCAGTGTGTACCATCTACAAGATGAACTGCAATAACGTACCAAGGTTCCTTTGACAATACTTTCCAAATATATCACCAGGAAGGCTAAGGGTCACAGATGCTTTAGAACATCACTGTTATCTTCAGTGTCTCTACCCAAGATATGCAGAAACTGCCTGATTCACTGAGTTTCCCAAATTGAACTGAACTTGAAGAAAAGCACTGTCTACTTGAACTGTTCAAACAGCTTAAGACTTCTTCCATAGCCTGGAGAGTGCCACAAACTTAACTGCCTTTCTACTGATATGAATCTTTCTTGTCAACTGTAACCCAGTGTGGCCCCTGGCCGTCTGTTTTTCATTATCATAAAAGTTTAAATTTGTAAACACTTCATCAACAAACTCCCCATACAGCTTAAGTCACATGCTTCCACGGAAAGCCTGTTTTGAAATCCCTGTTTAAAAAATGACAAATTTACCTTTTTTTTTAAAAGAAAAGTCTCTTTCACAAGATTAAAATCTAAAACGCATTTACCTCTACTTGAGAAACCAAATTCCCAAATGATCATGTATTATAAACGTTTATCACAACCACTATCTAAATCACATTCCTTCACTTTGCCTGAGTCCAAATCTCGGGACTCCATGCCTAACAGTACTGCATGCTTGTACGCACCACCACCTTCTCAAGGGCAATTAGGAATGGGCAAAAACTGCTGGTTTAGCTGCCGATGCCCATGTCCCACGAATAAATTTTTATAAGTTGTAAAATTGAAGTCATTGGTAACTGGGAAAATATGTTTCACTGACTCAAGTCATAACTAACAAAGGAAGATAGATAATTGTGGTTGTTGGATACTAAATGTCCCAGCTCCAAGATGTCATGCAACGAATCTTCAAGGTCCAAATGATCTGATTAAGTTGAAATTTCTTTAAAAGAACTCATCTTTTCTTTTGCCTGCTGGTGCAATTAAAAATGTGAAATTGTCCAGAGTTTCAGTACAGATGATTATTGTCCATTGGCCCGTGCTAGCAAATTTCATATTAGTCTGACTTCAGACTAATTTTCTCTGACTTCAGAATGACTAAATGCAAAGATGTTCAATTGAACAGAGATTGTTGGAACAACAATAGAAATTAGTAGAAAAAATGTACCAGGTCTGGTGGAACGTATGGAGAGAAAGCAGGTTTGATGTTTCAGATCCAGAACTCATTTCTGAAGAAGGAGCTGAAACATTAACTCTCTACAGAGGCTGCCAGCCCTGCTGTGTTTTTCAAGCAATTTCTGTTTTTGTTTCCGATTTCCAGCATTTGCAGTTCTTCGTTTAATTGTTTACGGAATTGAAGGAAGCCCAACAACCTTGGAACTGTATCCAAGATGCAGCATACTAGAAGGGGAAGGGGAAATGCTGCTAAAATTAAAACAGATATAGTCATAGAATCCCTACGATGTGGAAGCAGGCCATTCAGCCCAGTGAGTCCACACCACTCTCCGAAGAGCATCCCACCCAGACCCACCTCCCTTCCTGTAACCCTGCATTTTCCATGGCTAATCCACCTAGTCTGTGCATCCCTGGACACAATAGGCAATTTAGCATGACAGTTGCCCAAAGGTGGAATCGAACCTGGGGTCCCTGACTTTGTGAAGTAGCAGTGCTAACCACTGAGCCATCGTGCTGCCCTAGTTATTGGAAAGTTGTTTGTGAGGAATCATGCTCTGACCTAGTTATTGCTATGTAAGTCAGAACATAACTTGACTGTCTTGGTCAAGAGCTCTGTTTATGCAGATAATCACTCAGAGGTACATTGCTAAACATTTTTATGGCTATGACTACTTTCTGTTGATATGACAAAATGAGTGATCATAGCCATGACAGCAGAAGTACTGCTGGGCAGCCTCCCTTCTGTTTTACTTTAAATTCATTTCCACAGTGAGTACAAGTTTAAATCCTTCACGGAGGCAAAATAATAGGATTTAGAGTTATTTAAAGTGAACAGAGATGATCTCCTAGTTAGAGTTTAAGTAAATACTGTTCTGTTTGCTTCACAATTACAGGTCTTTAGTAAAGTCAAAAATCTTTCCAACTACTGATGATAAGAATCCTGAAGATCCTCTAGCAGAGGTGAAAGATCCTCTACCAGAAAAACTGAAGCAGTCTGTTGTAAGTAATATTTTTTATTATTTACTACTTGGATTTATATGCAACTTTACAGTCTAAAAATAATTTTCAGATATGCAGCTTTATATATTTGTATTTATATAAGCGTGACAGAATAAGATACTGGAAACATTGTGATGACAGATCCCTTCCAGTAGAACCATAGTGAGCAAGTTGAATTTTTACAACAGTCCAGCAACATTCGTCTTATTATTCTTGTGGTAGCCCAGAAATTGCTATGTGTATTTAATTCAGTTTCACAAATCACCACAAAGGAAATGTTGGTTTAATAGATTAAGTACTGAATTTATAATCCTACTATAATCCTTCCAAGTTCATCCATATAACCAGTTGGTCTTTCTGCTTTGTTCTTCCTCAACTAGCCCCCTGTCCTGACAGTTTCCTGCAGTCTTGAAGGGACTGACTCAGAGCAAAGTACAATTCTATTATTCCATAAAGAACTGCGAAGGCTGGATATCTGAAACAAAACATCTTATTTTGTGCTTGGAGACCCTATAGCTTGCAGGACTCTATTGAGTTCGTTAATTGTAGAGCCTGATCACCACACCTTCCATGTCCTTTACCCACCCCCACTCCCCAAGCCCAGTCTGACATGGGCTGATTTCAGCATAGCCACCCCATTTGACTCACCTTTGCTCCCTATTATCAGCTTTTCTTCCTCCCTGACATAATTATCATCCATCCTTTGGAGTCTGCCCAACTGTCATTCTTTGTCTCTCTCGGCTCCATTTCTGCCTATTTGCTTACTCTTCCTACCACCTGCACCTCTACCCTGCGCCCCATTTTTGGCGCACATGCCACTATTTGCAAGCTCCTATCAGCCTGAAGAGGGATCACTGGACTTGAAACGTTAATTCTGCTTTCTATTTACAGGTGTAGCCAGACCTGCCCAGTTTCTCCAGCAATTTCTGTTTTTGTTTTGCAATTCCACGAGTACGTGTCCCTTCGGTCATTTTACCCATGCCCACACTTTAAGTAAACTTGTCGGCAATTTGTCTGATCATTTTACGAGAGGTGGGGAGCATCAAGATTGAGTCTAGAACTGTCATTAACCAAAGCTGATGCGTATATTCTTCCATAACGGTCAGAAACCTTGGCGTTTCCTTTTTCCATAAAACCTTGTCTAGATAACCTGTCACTGACTGGAGTTCAAAATCAACATTTTCAACATTTGTGACTTGTCTGAACATTTGTGATTTGTTTTTGGCAAATATTTATTGGGCTAGCCAAAGTGGAGACTGAAGAGAGCCCCACAATGAAGCAACTATTTTAGGGAAAAACATAACAGGAGTTGATCGTTAAATATAATTGTTAAAATGATTTAACACAAGCAGTTCTGAAAATAGCTATTGATTTCTTTTTCTTGTGTCTTCTCCAGAGTGAACGTTTACAGTCTGATCTGATAGTTTGCACAGTCATTGCCATCTTGTACTTTGCTATCCATGTCAGCACAGTCTTCATTGCCCTGCAGGTAAAGAATTTGAGTTTTTAATCTGCGGAATAACACACAATAAGCCAAGGTTTTCCAAAGCTATGTCTGATGACCATTTTGGGTGCCTTAGAAAAGGTTTTAGAACTGATTTAAGGAAATATTAGGTGACTAAACCCTTGAGGCCAGAGGAAATTTTTGTGGAATGTTTCACAGTCTGCTGTTGAATGCCCAGTTGTGTAAAATCTCCTTGAGAGACATTAATTTTTTGCACTAGTTAATTGATATTGAACTCTGCTGGATTGAGCGTGTAAAATGATGATCAGAGCCGAAAAGAAATATAATTTCTCGCAACTGTATTTGTAAGGCATGATTGTTGAACAGACGCAGATCATTTCCAATGGAATTTACTTTGTCAGGGGAAGAATTTTGTTGTATGCATTAATGTTTTACTGCATCAACAAGACAGTGCTTCATGAATAGACAAATTATCATAAAATGTTAGGGGGCTTCTTATTTGGGAATGAAACAGAATGATTGGAATTTCAGTGTTGATCTGAATAATTCTCCACTTAGACTGCAGACTCCACCAATCCAGTGACCTTCATTCCAGTTACATTCACTCTCAGTCAACAAACTGTCCACATTTGTAAGCATTATTTATCCACTAACCTTTTCAAAATGTATAATTTTGGAAACCCTCCTCACTTGAAAATCTTTGCCAATTGCTGTCACATGAAATCTCTTCTTTTAATGCCGAGATGACTGATAAATGTTATCCCAGCCAGCCCACATCGCATGATTGAATGATTATTTTAAAAAATAATACTGTTTAGAATTATTAATTTTAGTGGCTAACTGACTTTTTGGTAATATCTAAAAATTAAAAATTCAGCTGATTCCGACATCAACATGAATTATATTATTTGATTTGGAGTTACGGAGTCTGTTCTCCTGTTTCTGGCTTCCTTAGCCTTCCTGGTTAGATGTCTTACAAGTAATCTACCAACTACAGCATCTAGAATCTCAAAATTGTTAGCGCATAGGAGAATGCCATTCAACTCATTATGTTGCTGCCGGCTCCCCAAGAGTATCTCATTCAGGGCCACTCTTTTATTTTCTCCCTGTAACCCTTTATTATTTCTTTTCAAATGAGTACAGTTCCCTTTTGAATGGCTTGAGTGACCCTGCATCTAACCACACTCTGGCAGTGTATTCCAGACTCTGACCACTTGTTTTTCCACTGTCACTTCTGCTGCTTTAACTAATTTTTTTGTAAATCTGTGCCCCCTCATTCACAATTCTTTCCATGAATACGAACATTTTCACTCTATTCATTCTGTCCAGGCCTCTCATGGTTTTAAATATGTCAATCAAATCTCCTCTCAGCCTCCTTTACTCCAAGGAAGACAGTCCCAGTTTCTCCGATCTGTCGTCATAACCAGAAAATCCTCACCCCTGAACCATTCTTGTAAAACCTCTTCTGTACTCTGTCCAATGACCTGTCTTATGTCCTTCCTAAAATGTGGCACCAAAACTGGATGTATTCATCCAGTGAGGCCAGACCACAGCAAATGGCTATTGATGCTAGATAATTTGTACATTTTTAAATCTAAGATTGATAGATTTTTATTAACCAACCAAAAGTATTAAAGGACATGGGGCAAATGAGAATGTATAGCATTAAGTCATAGATCACTCACAATCTCACTGAACGATCCAGCCAGTTTGAGGTGCCAAATGCCATTTTCTGCTTCCTTTGAGACTTAAAATCTCCTGTTCGAACTATGTGACAAAAATGGTAAGATTCTAAAACTAATCCAAATGGCTGAGAGCAGCTTAAACCATACAAATCCATCATGACTTAATGAGTGGTAGTGTTCCTTGCGGTATTGATATTGGAACCCTAACGAGACCAGTTGGATTAACCAGAGTAATGTTGGCACAAATGACAACTCTGTGTAGTATTTATAATTAACTTTTCAAATCATGAAGTAACCAAAACAAAAGCTGAAAAAGTTTGAATTTGTTTTACTTTTAGCTTCTTTTACTGGTTAAATTCTAGTCTGTGAGCTGAGCTTTGCTGGGGAAAAATATGGTATGTTATCAATTTGCAAATCAGGAGATCAAGAGATTTTCCTTGAGTTTGCAATTCTCTAGGACTTACTAATCAATTTAAGTTGCTTTGCACAAACAAATCTCACTGTTAATCTCTGTTCTTTTTAAAAACGTGTCTGGATTTGCACATTAATTGCTCATTAAACTTGCCACAGAAGGTTAAGTCCACCGAATAACAGAGTAAGCACTTTTCCAATGTGATGATTATTAATGCAGTGGTAACCAGTCTCTGTTAGAATTATAGAAATTGACAGCGTAGAAGGAGAAGAAGGGTCTAGGCCCGAAACGTCAGCCTTCCTGCTCCTCTGATGCTGCTTGGCCTGCTGTGTTCATCCAGCTCTACACCTTGTTATCTTAGCATAGAAGGAAGCTGTTTGATGTCTTGTGCCAAAGTGGTAGTCTCCCTACCATGTGAGCCAGGAGGCCTGAGTTCACCCTTTTGCCCTGGAGAGTGTCATAACATGTCCAAACTTTTTGATTAAAAAATAATTAGAAGGAAACCATTAGGGCTGTTGCAGTGACCCTAACTCTGGGCCAGAAGGTCCAGTTTCAAATCCTAGTGTCACGTGTGCCTGAACAGATCGATTAAAGTATCTAGAAAGAAGCCATTGGCCTACTTTATAAACTTACACTTTTTGAAGATTTTAAAAACATTAAATTTGTGGTTTAATATTTGTTTTCTTAATTTTTGTCTTTTTTCAGTCTCTTAATCCAACTTCTTGTTTTATTTACCTTACTACACCTTATTTGACTCATAAATAATCTGCCATTTCCCCCTCGCATTCATTGTTCCGTTCTGGCTTAACCTCTGAGTCATCTTAAAGATTCCACAAGTAAGTGGAAATCAGTGAAGAATCAAAATTCCCCTAGAATTGAGGCTGCAGTGCTAGTTGCTCAGGAGGAATTGAGCAACTTCTTAAATTTGTGATCAGCTGAGGAGAAAAGATTGCCAAAAGAGTCAGGGAGTCATAGAGCTATACTGCATGAAAACAGACCCTTCAGTCTGACTCATCCATGCACACCAGATATCCTAAACTAATCCCGTCACATTTGCCAACATTTGGCCCATATCCCTGTAAACCTTTCCTGTTCATGTACCCATCCAGATGCCTTTAAATGTTGAAATTATACAGGACTCCTCCACTTCGTCTGGCAGCTCATTCCATATACACACCAACCTCTGCATGAAAAAGTTGTCCCTTAGGTCCCTTTTATATCTTTCCTGTTTCACTTTAAACCAATGCCCTCTAGTTTTGGACTCTCCTACCCTGTAAAAAGACCTTGGCAGTTCACTCCATCCATACCCCTTATTATTTTATAAACCACTGTAAGGTCACCCCTCAGCCTCCAATGCTCCAGGGAGAATAGCCACAGCCTATTCAGCCTCTCCCTATACTTCAAACTCTCAAACCCCGGCAACGTCCTTCTAAATTGAATGCGGTATTCCAAAAGTGGCCTAACCAATGTCCTGTATAGCTGCAACATGACCTCCCAACTCTTATCCTCAATGCACTGACCAATAAAGGCAAGTGTACCAAATGCCACCTTCACTACTCACTCTCCCTGTGAGTCCACCTTCAAGGAACTATGAAACTGCACTCCAAGATGTCTTTGTTTGGCAACAGTCCCAGGACCCCACCATTAAGTGTATAAGTCCTGCCCTGATTTGCTTTATCAAAATACAACACCTCACATTTATCTAAATTAAACTCCATCTGCAACACCTCAGTCCATCGGCCCATATAATCCATGTATGAAGCTTAGTTTGTGCAATGTAAGTCTGGTCAACATAGGAAGAACTTTGTATCTGCTATGAACTGTTTTCCTGTGCTGTAGGATTGCTACTATTGTGGGTGAGTGTTTGATGTGGGTCAGATAAGCCAGGGTAGTAGAGAAAGTCAACAGAATATTAGCTTCAAGGAAAGATTGGAAAAATCGCTGGTTATTAATATTTGACATTGTTACTGAACATTTGTGAATTGCATCAATTTATCTTAGTTTTTGGATTTCAAAAAGTGTTGAATTTTAACCTCTTGTTTGTTCCCAAAAGAAGCGGCTGTAATAAAGCTGAGAGTAATGCCAATAGAAGGGATATAACACCTGATGGGCCTCTTGGTCTTCAATTTAAAAAGGAAACTAAATTAAATTTGCATTTGTGTTACATTGTTAACTTATCCCAAATTGCCTTGAACAGTAAATTGCTGTTAAGTGCTGCCAACTGAACATACTGAAGTAGATGTACTGTATTGACTATGTATTTTTCTTGTCTCCCAGCCTGTCCTCAGCTATGTGCTGTATACCCTAATAGGTGCAGTAGGATTTCTAACACATTACTTGCTGCCTCAGCTCAGAAAACAACTCCCTTGGCATTGCTTCTCTCATCCACTGCTGAAAACCAAGGAGTACTATCAGTTTGAAGTGAGAAGTAGGTACTCCTCTCATAGCTATACAGCAATAACTATAATGAGTTGCGACTATCCATTCAGGTGCAATGAATGGTTCTTGAGGTTGTTGAGGTTGGTTGGCTCGCCGAGCTGGTTTTTTGTTTCACAGACGCAAAGACACGATCAATACTCACTCATCTCAATCCACATGGACAAGGAGAACCACCACTTCGACTGGGACAACACCAAGATCCTGGGACAGGTTAGGCAGAGACAGGCACGAGAATTCCTAGAAGCATGGCACTCCACGAAGCATGCTATTGATAAACACATTGAACTCGATCCCATATACATTCCACTACGAAGGAAAACCGGAAGTGAGGCTATCCATCTCAACGGACCCCAGAGTTTAAAAACCAGGTGGGAAAACACACTGACGCTTCATCGGAGGCTGCACTGAGGATGTTACCAAGCATGGTAACGAAATGTCTGTGAAACAAGAAACCAGTTCGGCGAGCCAACCAACCTCAACACCCACAACCCGAGTTACAAATCTTCTCCAAAACCTTAATGAATGGTTCATTGATCTAATTGCTGTATTGTATTTTCTCAAAATATTGCATTTCAAAGGAGTCTGGCCATAATGTCAATGTAAGATTTACCAGAATAAGCTGTAATATTAGCTGCATTTTTCAGGAAAGAAGCAAGTTCAAAATGAAAATTAGTTATTAAGAATTCAAAAGGCAATTTTAAAAAAGAGAGGCAGCTCACAAGAAGACTTGAAAAATATCTTTAGGGAAATAATAAACGATAAACAAAACGGTAAATGTGCTATTAACCAGCCCTAGTTGAGGTTATATCCCAAGATCCTCCTTAGCTAATCTTTCATTTTTATTGGCATGGATCCACTGCCAGTACTCTAAAGTATGTAATTGGGTCAATTTTCAAAACTGAATTTGAAGGAAGAAACATTTCTGCGATTATTGAAATGTAATTACAATGTAGTACAATTAACATGTAAGTTTCACCTCAGAAGGGAAAATCCTCCATACTTTTGACAAATAAAACATCTGGATCAGTGCTTTTGATTTCCAATTAGAAATTGGTTCAAAATGTTCAAAGCATTTCAAAGATATCTCTTCGGGTAATATGATGTTTTCATTGCCAAGAGTGAGAGTTGTGTATCTGTAAACATATTTTGGTTGCAAGCTTCGCTGATCCCCTGGTCACTGCAAAGATTAATAGTCCAATTATTATTGTTATTATTTATGCGCTGATTTTTTTTTTGTTAAAGCACCTGTAGCATTACCACTTTGAACCTGTTATGTACTAATGATAGACTGATTGGCTTTGTGCTGTTCAAAAACACCCTTATCCATTTTCTTCTCTCAGATGCTGCACATGTCATGTGGTTTGAAAGGATGTACGTTTGGCTTCTTTTTGTGGAAAAGAACATTATTTACCCATTGATTGTTCTCAATGAATTGAGCAGCAGTGCTAAGATGATAGCTAGCCCAAAGAAACTGGACGCAGAGTAAGGTGTTTCTCTTTATTATTCTTTTCCTCATCTGTGTCGTTAGCTTTATTCCCCACTTTTTAACTTTGCTTGGCCAGATGCAGCAGGTATTTGATCAATCTGTAGCTCCTAGCCACTTCCCAAACCTGGCAGCTCAAGAAGCTTCAGAGACGTAACCTTCCAAAAATCTAAAGTACATTTTTTTTAGATCTAATTTCACAGATTGGGAATTGCTTTATTTTTGCCTGTTTTTCTGGGTTATCAGTGGAGATTTGATACAGGAACTGTAAATCTATATTCATAGCTTTTTCATTGTACAAGAATTGTTACTGGGGAATATAATTATTTCAACTGAAATGTCGTTAATGTATTTGACTGGATAGGGAAAATACATTAGAAGGCATGACTATACAAAGGCAGTGAACTGTTTTTAAAAAAAAAAAATGGGCTTACTGCAACAATACATTCATCCAAGGTGCAAAAACTCAAAGATCAGTCAACCATGCCTGACAAAGGACTTTAAGGATTTTTTTGAGAAAGCTCATAAGATGGCCAGAGATAGTCGTAAATCTGAGGATGGGGATGATTATAAAATACAGCAAAGGCAGGCCAAGAAACTGATTAGGAATGAAGGAACAAGTACAAATTGCCATCTGGCAAAAAACAAAAATGACCTGTGACACCTGCTACAGGTATGTTAAAAAAGAAATATTTGGCTAAGATGAATATGAATCCATTGGAAGCAGAGTCGAGACAATTTATAATGGGGAATGAAGGAGTGGCAGAGAAAGTAAATGATTACTTTGTGTTTTTTCACTTAGGAAGATGCAGGAAATCTCCCAGAATCAGAGGTCCAAGTGATTAAGGAGAATGAGCAATTGAAAGAAATCAGTACTAAGGTAGTACTAGAGAAATTAATGGGGCTGAAATTTGGTAGCTCCCTGGGACCTGATGGTCTACATCCCAGAGTTTTGAAGGAGGTGGCGATAGAGATAGTTAACACATTGGTGATTATCTTCCAAAATTCCATGGATTCTGCAATGACTTCTGCAGATTGGAAGCTTACAAATGTCACCCTGTTTTTAAGAATAAGAGATTGTTTAAAGCAGTTGCTGGATGGCTGGTTTGCAATGCAAAGTAATACAAACAGCATGAGTTCAGCTCGTGCACCAGCTGAGGTTACATGAAGGACTCTTCTTCACAACCTTTCCCCTCACTTGACCCGTGGTGACACTCGGGTTAAACCATCACTAGTCGTCTTTCTCTAATGGCAAAGCAGACCTCTGGTCTGGTAAGACTGTGGTGACTTTCCCCTTTATTTTATTTTTCCTTTGCTCCTTTCCTTAAATAATCTGTGAATTATAGACTTACCAGCCTTACATTAGTAGTGAATGCATTAGAATCTATCGTAATGGTTATAATGACTGGACACTTGGATAAAAATAATCAGATTGGGTATAGTCATATTTGCAAATGGAAAATCTTGTTTGATGAAGTTGTCACAGTTTTTGAGGACGTTATTAAGAAAAATTGATAAATGGGAGTCTGGATGCAGTGTATTTGGATTTTCAGAAGACTTTTGATTTGGTCCTCCACTGGATGTTGATTTTGAAAATTAAAGCATGTGGGATAGCAGATAATGTACTGCCATGGATTAAGGATTGGCTTAAAAAAAAATAGGATGGTGGGACTGTTTTAGGCAATCTGTGCCTCTGTTCTCTCGAGTTTCAAAGAATGAATGATTGAAAGCTACAAAATGCTTGAAGCCATAGACAGGGTAGATGCATACAGGATGTATCCCCAGGTTGAGGATGATTTAAAATAAGGGGGTGCTATTTAGGACTGAGATGAAGGGAAATTTCTTTACCCAGAGGGTGATGAATCTTTAGGATTGTGTGCCCCAAAGGGCTGTGGAAGTTTAAATTTTGATTACATTTGAAGTATAAATATTTGATTGTCAATGACATAAAGGGCTAGTTTGGTAAAAGGCAGTTGATGTGTTCAATCCGTTGCGATCATATTGAATGGCAGAGTAGACTCGACAGGCTGAATGACTTCCAACTGTTTATGCTCGTAGATTTGCTCATATACAGATTTTGAAGTTTGTATGTATACGTTGGTGTTGAGCACACTTTAAATTGGGAATGTTTGCTGCCATTTTGATTCTTTCGCAGGACATGGACATCATTGCCAAGGTCAGCATTTGTTGTCCATCCCACATAACCCTTTGAGAGCTGTTAAATGTCAACCTTGTTGCGTTGGGTCTGGAGCCAATTGTAGGCCAGGCCTGGAGAGAATGGCAGATTTCCTGCCTTACCTAAAGAACATGACTATGCCAGATGGGTTTTTACAACCATCAATCATGAGGCCAGCTTTATATTTGAGGCTCATCAATTGAATTCAGATTTCAAGAACAGCCTTAGTGTGATGTGGATCCCTATCCCCAGAGCTTTTTTCTGGGCCTCTAGATTGCTAGTCCATTGACCATACACCATTTTGCTGTCTTTCCTATATTATTTAAAGAAGACATTTAACATACTTAAATCTTAATTTTTCAAGTGAAGCAGTAATGGATCCCATCAGTTTTTTTTTTGTAGAATGGGATTCTTTGATCTGATTAATAACTTTAGTACCATATTGAAGGTACAGAGCAGTTAGGTAGTTGTACTGTTGTATTCAAGGAAATGCAAAAATGGATGGATTTGCTTATTTATTACTGTATACATCAGTTTAATAGAAAGTGACATTGTTCGTTTGGAATAGAATTATTGATAACCTGAATGATTTAATGCTCATATTTTTGTTGACTTGTTGGTGCAGTTGATTACTTTATGTATGGTACTCTCAAGAACCAATTCTGTCCTCTCCCCAGGTTTGGTGCATTAATGATCACCATTGCAGGGATGAAATTGCTTCGATCTTCTTACAGCAGTCCTACATACCAATATGTAACTGTTGTTTTCACTGTGCTGTTCTTCACGTTTGATTACAGAACTTTTTCAGAGACTTTGCTTTTGGACCTTTTCTTCATGTCTATACTGTTCAGTAAGGTATGTTATAAGAACAAAAACACAAGCGGCTGACATAAGATAAACAGTTTGCTGATCTTTCTAGTCTTGACTAAGAGCTAAACAGAGAGATGGATCTTGCACAGTTCAGATTTTGCATGTGTTAATGTATCATAGATTGAACAATAACAGTTAATTTCGGGTGAAATTTAGTTGCTTATTACGTATTGACTGCTGTGTTCATACGACTGGCAAAACTTGCAGTAGGGTGTCTTGTTTGGCTATCCTTGCAGGCCTCCTGAGACACCAAGTAATGGAATCAGTGCATTCTGCAACACGGTTTAGTGGACAGCTTGATGTGATATGCTCAGTCGTCGGAACTGATGGCCATAGTCGCACTTCATGCCATCCATTTATGGTGGCTCCATCAACTTTGCAGTATTTGGATTTGGGTTAAACATTAACCACTGTCCTCAATATACTGCTGCTGTAGAGTTGTTGATAGGGTGGTCATTCTTTATGGTGTATATGTCTCGTGATTCCATTCATCATGGTAGCCGGGTAGTCCTCTTTGCCATCTTAGGCAGTCCCTTGGGGTTGAGGATTAATTGCTTCCACTCCAGTTTAATAGGTTCTGAAATGGTTAATCAGTTTCATGTGTGATCTGCAGACTCTGCTACATAAGGTAGGTGGTGCATGAAGGGTTGGGTCATCGGATATTTTTGGAGGTTTGTGCACTGTTTGGTGCCTCAACTTCACCTTTTGAACATTCCCAACAAAATGTCTCAGTGCCTTCCCAACTGAGCCTTCTGTGTTTTCGACAGTCACAAGCAATGTACTCCTGTAAGTTGGCAGGGATGTTTGACCTCTTCCAGGTGGCTTTGAGGACATCCCTAATATGATCCTGCTGTTCTCCTGAAAGTCTGCTGACGCAAACAAATTTTGAGTAGACCGGTTACTTTAGGAGTCTATTGTCAGGCATACAAAATACGTGTCCAACCAAGCAGAGCCAGGTTTAAATGATTAGTGCCTTGATGCTTGGCACATTGCCTTAGAAGTGAACACTGCTGACAGATCACTTTCCTTGCCACGAGATTTGCAGGATTTTGAGATCGTTCGAGTCTCTGAGGTAAATCCTGGACCTTAGAATTGGGTTTGAGATCCTGGGTCCTCAAGTTCTCTTTTCACCATTCGATTGAAGGCTGAATAGGCAAATTGGAGATGCTGATTAAATTTATTGTCTGTGCTGGTCTTCACAAGAGGATGCTACCAAGGAATGTTCCACATTTTTCAAGATTTTCATCTTTGATCCTAATTGTCAGTAGGATTGGTGCTGTGAAGCTGATGAGCCTTAGTTTCACAGGTGCTTAGTGAAAGGCTCATTTTTTCATATGTTTCAGTGAAGAAGTCACCAATGACCTGAAGCTAAGTGTCTCATTGAGCTTTGTGCGCAAGCGTCTTTTGCATACAGAAGCTCATTGACTAAGTTGAAGTGATTTTAATTTTGGATTGAAGGAAGTATAGATTGAACAATTTCCAGCTGTTTTGTAGATTATCTGTACAATTGTGGGTAGTATGCTAGAGTTGAGATGTAGTATTTTAACTGGGAAATGGAAAGGAGAGTTTATTCAGTTACTCAAAGTTGTTCGAACCCAGTTTTCATCGAATGCCTGTGGTGTTTCTGTTGGTGAGGACACAGCTTGTGTGTTTTCATGGTGCAAGCAGAAGATGATGGTGACAAATTTATGAGATCATCCCAAGTTTTGTGAGAATACTGTTAAACCTTTGTGGTTTATAAGGTCAGATGATTTTATGGTGTCAGAAAAGACCTCAGACATTCTCAGACTTTGCTGCTCAGTGAAGGTCTGTTGTGCTTCTCAATGGGAGAAACCATACTGTGACTCTTGAAGGAGTTCTTTGCTGCTGCGGAGGTGGTTTAGGGGGATCCTTGCAACAATCTTCCCCGTAGCAGATCACAAGGAGACCGCTCTGTAGTTAATGCAATCAGACTTGTCCTCCTGCTTAAATTTATTCAGGATCATCACAGCGTCTCTCAGCTCCCCCAGTATGATCTGTTATCCCATGATGAGGAATATGAGGTTGTGCAGTCTTGCCAGGAGTACATTTCAGAATTTCAGCAGGAATCATGTCAGCTGCAGTTGCCTTGATGATGCCAGCTGCATAAATATTAGCTGCAGTTTCCCAGAATGATTGTAGGTGCTTTTCTGATGGATTTTTCACATCTTCAATACTACTCATGATTTTATTCAATCTCTTGGAGTGCAATGGCAAAACACGGATGACTAGTGAGGCAATATGAGACAGAACCACAAATCATAGAGAGTAGACTTAAGCATCCTTGATACTGAGCACATGAAACGTTTAGATACACATTTGTGATCTTCATGTGACAGCTGAAGTTCTGTGAGGCAGAGACTAGGGGAAATATTGCTAAGTGAAGTGTTAACTAAGGAAATAAAATGCAATAACTTAGTAATGCTATCATGGAATCAAGTCATCAAAACCATCATCAAACTGAACGAGGATCCAATCTTTTAGCAATCCAACTTCAATCAGTATTCTATTCAAATGTAACATGAAAGTACTGAGTGTTAATGTATGTACTTAATATTTTTCTTTTTGATTTTAGTTGTGGGAACTTTTCTACAAATTAAGATTTGTCTACACTTACATTGCTCCTTGGCAAATCACATGGGGATCGGCGTTCCATGCTTTTGCTCAACCCTTTGCTGTACCTCGTATCCTGTACTCATAATTTAGGAATAATTACTGTTGTTTGTATCTCTATTTGCTGCACAATTTACTGCACTTGCAACACAGGATTTTGTAGACATCTGCTTGTCAGTTTTGTGAGTTAAGTATTAGCTAGCCTAATGCTCAAGAGTAGTTAACCTCCTATTGTAATAAAAACCTAAATGAGAGCAGCAATTCAAGAATAATAAAACACTCGGATGACATTAGATGAAATCTAATCACAAAGGCAACTTATGTTATTGTACACTAGTGTTACAGTACCATTTATTTTAAGGGGTAAGGTACTCAGAGTAGTTTCCTATGAGCAATCCTGTGTTTTGTGATCTCCATTGCAGATTAATATCAGATTAACAGCTTTTAAGAGTATGCTATAATCTGGTATCCCATGCTGAACTTAACTCTGTCAGTTTGACAATTTACATTGGTAGCTTTGTGTTCATAGAACACCACCAATACTGTTTTGTGAAAATCAACCAGTTAAAATTTCTTCTTGGGTCTGGCAGCATCTGTGGAGGAGAAAACAGAGTTAATGTTTCGGGTCTGGTGACCCTTCCTCAGAACTGCAGTTGTTCCTGACTCTTTTTTGTTCCTGATTTACAGCATCCGCAGTTCTTTTGGTTAAAATTTCTTCTTATCCATTTACAGGATGAGGGATCACTGGGTAGGCCAGCATTTATTGCCCTTCTCTAGTTGCCCAAAGGGCGGTTAGGTGTCAGCCACATTGCTGTGGGTCTGGAGTCACATGTAGGCTAGGCAATTTCCTTCCCTAAAGGGCATTAGTGAACAGATGGGTTTTTTCGACAATTGACAGTGGTTTCATGGTTATCATTAGACTCCTAATTCAAGACTTTTATTGACTTCAGATTTTCACCATCTGCCCTGGCGGGTTTCGAACCTGGGTGCCCTGAACGTTACCTAGTTCTTTGGATTAACAGTCCGGCTATAATGGGCAACTAGATATAGCACTTGGGGCAAATGGGATCAAAGGTTTTAGGGAGAAAGCAGGATTAGGCCATTGAGTTGGATGATCAGCTATGATCGTGAAAAATGGCGGAGCAGCATCAAGGGGCTGAATGGCCTCCCCTGCTCCTATCTTCTATGTCTCTATGTATCATTTATATTGGCTGAAAGCTGAATTGCAGAAGGAAATCATTTTAACATGTGTTCATGATACGTATTTGAGCCAATATTTGACATAGTTATTAGCACAATGTGTTGCAATACAGTTACAGACAGCTAGCGGTGTTGAACCATGGTGCTCCATAGTCTATTTCAAATCAGTAGTAAAGATTCCATGCACACACATAACTTGGAAGAAATAATGGCACAGGTATGTGAACTCATTTAGTACTTTCAGTGGTATTTCTTGAAAGGTTGGAGCTGATCAATTTCTTGTTGCCATTGTTGTTTGCTTGTTTTACATTGTTCTTTCAGAAGTTAAGAAACTGAACACTGTGTACTAAGGTACCATTCCAGCAGATGCAGTGACGTTGTTAACACAACAGGAAGCCAAGTCTGAAGGGGTGCAGCTGTTGGACAAATAGAGAATGCCTCAAGACAGGTTTTGATGGCGTATGCCATCATTCCAAGGGGTTTCACTGTAGTGTGTGGTGTGGTTATGATGTATTTTTTTATTCCTTAACGTGCCTTTCTTCAGATTCAGCCATGTTGTTCATCCAGGCAGTGGTATCAGCTTTATTCTCAACTCCTTTAAACCCATTCCTTGGAAGTGCAATCTTCATTACTTCATATGTACGTCCAGTCAAGTTCTGGGAAAGAGACTACAAGTAAGTGCATTGAACATTGTGTATTAATACATTCAACACATGTTGGTAAAAGAAGTATGCTATTTAAAAATAAAAGCAATTTTCTCTTTGATACGTCTTAAGTTGCCATTTTTCTTTACTTGGTTACATTGAGATTCTTGTTATCGACACTAGGTAATGCTAACAGTACACTAGCATCTAGTTTAAGAAGTTGACGTTTACTATCCATAGGGCAGAAATTTTGCCACAGGAAAATTAATGAATTCTCATTTCAGGCATGCAGTGACTACATTAGACATTTGCAAAACAAGAATAACACAGTCAGATACAAAATATAACACCCTTTTCTCTGAAGTTGTACCTCATCTGGCATACTCGATGAGAACGCTGTATCCTTTACCCCTGTTCCCCTGTCTGTCCTGTAATTTAAGTGAGATTGCATAATCTAAGAATTAAAGGACTATGTTGTTCTGTTAAAATGTAACCACCAGGCACTGCATTGAAACTACCCAACCTATATTTTCTTGGCACCTATAGCTGGCAGGCAGAAGAGACTTTCAATTAAACATCTCAAAGTGGATTTGGAATCTGATATCGGAAATGAAAGGCTAGCTCCTACTCCCTTCACCTCTTACACGCCAGACTCCTTCCAGTGCCATTCTATTACCAGCCCCTGGAGTCTGTGTCATCGTCACCTAAATGCTTTATACCTTCTCTCTTTCCCTCTCAAGTAGCAGCTAGCATTCCGTTGGGCTGAGCTTATGATTTCTGAGCTGGGTGGGTGGAGCACTTGTGTAACTGAGCTCCCACTCTTAGCAGTCTCTGATTAATTTAATGTGTGTCATTGCTGACTTTTGCAATTTTAACTTTGTGTGCTGCAGAATTCTGTGTTAAAACTTCAGTTTGTCTTGTAGCACCAAGCGGGTGGACCATTCAAACACCAGATTGGCTTCTCAACTTGACAGAAACCCAGGTAAGATGTGAGGGGCTTTCTAGAAACTGTTAGATTACATGAATGTAGTTCAAGCAAAAGCTTCTTCACGGCAATTGAATTAAACCTTAATCTTCAAGTTTACGTAGTCTATCCTCAGTCTCTAAGCCCTGGTATTAGCCTGAAGCTACATGTAAAAATTGATGTGTATGATGAGGATGTTAACTACTGGCTCAAGACCTGGTGGGAGCCCTACAACATTGTAGTATATTGGATACTTAAGTAACTGACATTAGGACTTGCCCTGGATTAAGGACCCCTGCGCGATCACTGAAATCTGCTGACCAGTCAGAAGCCATAAACTTTGCCATCAGCATTCACTGGGAGAGGTGACAGCTTTCAGTGGTCCACTCACCAGAGGCCCAGGATCACCGACGGGCCCCCAAACCCAATATGACTGAGGGCAGGATGAGAGTCACACCGTGTGAGTTGGGGCTTTTTGGGTGGGGTGGTGGGAGGCAAGGGCAAGGGAGTAATGCCTGACAATGACTATACCCCACTCAGACACCCATAAGCAAACTCAACAGGATTTGCTTTTCGAGCTTCAGGCATTATGACTCCTGGGCAGATGGATGAAGCCACTAAGCAGACCTCAGTTAGCATTCATGGAGAAGGCCATCCATAAGCCTCTCATGCTGGACTTTATTGGATGGAGCCAGGGAAGTGGTGAGGGCCCCCCACACTCTTCCACCTGATTAAATGCCTCCCACCTCCAAACAGCAGAAAAGGCAGCATTGAATTTTGCCCAATGTTTGTTTCTTAAACCCTCTTAACTTGCCACTGTTTGCACACCTACCGCTGACTTTGCCCTTTGTAAATATGCTCACTTCAGGTGGGGAATCAGTCTGAGTTGGTTTTTTCAAGATAGAATTATAAAGTATTCAGAATTGATCTTCATCTCAGTTCAGCTCAACTACCTGTGGGAGTCATTTTTCATTTTATACTGATACTTGTACTGCTCACTAGAACTAATATGTTATTGAAGGCTTCAGTGGAGCAAATACTTCAATGTTGCCAATTTGCCAAATAAAATTGGTGGAGTTCATCTGAGTACAATACAACTTTGCAGAACTCATAAATACTCTGTAAGTGAGGCAGTGCAACTGTGCAATGACTGTCCTTTTACCCCAGAAATCATACTGGTATTGCACCAGTGTTAGCAATGCTACACTGCACAAGGTATCTTAGGCAAATTAATTCATGGGAGATTCAATTGGAATTCAGCAGATTAATAATATTATATGGTGATTAAAAGCTTTAAAGGATATACAATAGGGTAGAAAAATAGGAAATAATTTGAATAATGGATGAATCAAGAATGCAATGACATAATCTTAAAATTAGAAGTAAGGGTTGCTTAGTGGGTAAATCAGGACACACATTTTCCAAACACGATCATGGGAACTGGATTTTCTCTGGTGACCAGAGAAGTTGTTGAGTTGGAAAATTGAAGTTTTCAATTCTAGCAGTACTAGATTTGCGGAGAGATATGGAGCAACAGCACACACTCCCTAAGACACTCTCTCTCTGACATAATACTTCCTTTGTGTTGCTCAGAGCCACATTTTTGTAATGCTTCTGTGATGTTTTATTTTACTACAGACATTCAGGTGGATTTCATGCCTATTCATAATTAATGGTTTCCAATTTCACTTAATACCTCGCCCTCACTACCACCTCTTCCAATCTTGTTAAATTATCAAACTAGTTGACTGACTTTCAATCCTGGCAAGAAAAAATATCCTCCATTTACATATTGAGAAAACCAAAGCCATTGCCTGTAATCCATACTACAAACTCTGTTCCCTAGCTATTGACTCCATCTCTTTCCCTGGCAGCTGACCTCAGTTTCACCAGTTTGTTCGCAGACCACTGAGCCATGCCAACACTTTGGCCAGCTATTTTCAAATCAGCAACATTGCCTGACTCCACCTTTGCCTCAGCCCAAGCCTCCATCCATACCTTTATTACCTCCAGACTTGATTGCTTAACACACTTCTGACCAAGCTCCACCATACTTCCCTCTGTAAACGTGAGATCACCCAAAGCTTTGCTTTGCATGTCCTAACTCTTACTCTCTTTACATTGCCCTTGCACTTCCATTTAATCAATATCTCAACCGTAAAATTCTCATCCATGTTTTTGAATCTCACATAGCCTATCTTTGTAATCTCCTCTAACATCTCCTTTCTAATTCTCTGAGTTATCTGCGCTGATGTAGTAGAGTCTTACAGAGTCATAGAGCTGTACAACATAGAAACAGGCCCTTCGGTCCTGCTTGTCCATTCCTACCAAATATCCTAGATAAATGTAATCCCATTTGCCAGCATTTGGCCCATATCCCTGTAAACCCTTCCTATTCATGTACCCATCCAGATGCCTTTTAAATGTTGTAATTGTACCAGCCTCCACCACCACCTCTGGCAGCTCATTCCATACACCCACCACACTTTGCGTGAAGAAGTTGCCTCTTGGGTCTCTTTTAATCTTCCCCTCTCACCTTAAACCTATGCCATCTAGTTTTCAAATCCCCCACCCTGGGGAAAAGACCTTGTCTATTCACCCTGTCCATGTCCCTCATGATCTTTATAAGGTCACCCCTCAGCCTCCAACACTCCAGGAAAGTAGCCCCAGCCTATTCAGCGTCTCCTTATAGCTCAAAGCCTTTAACCCTGGCCGCATCCTTAAAATCTTTTCTAAACCCTTTCAAGTTGCACAACATCCTTCCTATAGCAGGAAAACCAGAATTTAATTCTGGAGGGAGGGATCAATTCCCCTACGATGGGTGGCTGAACGTTTTGTTCATGCTGAATATCCTTCTTGTCAATACATATGCTTCTTGAGAGTACGAAAACCTTAAATAAAAATAACATTTTGGCAAATCTTGGCACATCCAATTTAAAAATGTTGTACCAGTCTATTAAACAGCATTCCCGAGTTTTTAATGAATTTGGATGTAAAGGTAAAGTCTTCATAGTCCCAGGGGATCATAGGGCTGCTCCCTCATTAAAGAGAGACAACTGGTGGTGAATTCAACCTGAAGGTTGTCACGCCTCAGGTGAGGGATAAGGTTGAAGAGATGGGACCTTCATGGTGACCTCAGCTGATAACGACAATTAAGCCTGTGCTACTGGTGTCACTGTTGCAAACTAGCCATATAGTCACCTGAACTATGTATTGTTATTAATACTGTGATCATATGATGTATGTTTCACAATATTTGGACAGGCAGAAATACCTCTTGTCATTCGCAGTGGGATGTGTTTAGGGTTTGATGGTGCACTTCAACCTGCATTTTCAAGTTTGCCATGATGTTGATCATTTCCATTCTTAACAATGGAAAATCTCTGGCTGTCACTTTGTACATGACATCACTGCATTGCAATGCTGGATGTTATGTTGTGTTTTCACAAAAGCAGTGAAAAAAAATTTCTTTTTACATTACATATTTATAATCCCCAGTTCAAATTACTATAAATAACCTACAATAAAACTTCAAAACAAATGTACAATAAGCAGTTCAGTACAGTACCTCCATAAAGAACATTGAATGTTGCAGTTCATCACGTTTTTACCTCCTCTCAGATTTAGCCCAGTCTAATTCATTGAAAGTCCCTTTTCTCTGAAGCCTATTAAGGTCTCAACTGTAATGAATTTGAACAATTTCTTTAGAATTTCTAGTGAGTAATGCAGTCAGCAAAGTACTGATAGCTAACCTCGGGCCATAAAGATTACTGGTGCAGGAAATGAGAAAATTAGATTAAGATGTGCTCTTATGAGAATGGAGTTAAGATGCATTTGAGAAGGTGAATATAGAGAGTGTTCTATCCCATATTGTATCTGACCATCTTATGGTTGATCGTGAATGGAGTTTCTTGGTTTGAGTACAACAGCATAATGGTTATGTTACATGGTTAGTAACCCAGTCAGGCCTAGAATAATAGTATAGAGACATAGCTCAAATCCCAACTCATCAGTTGGAGTCAGTGGGGCAAGTGGCCTCTTTCTATACGGTAATGACTCCATGATATCTGCTTATTGTGGTTTCAGCTCTCACATCTATACTTATTGGTTCTGACCAAATCCCTTCTGCCCACTTTCTGATTGCCTCATGACATCCAATAGTCTGAAGTCATAAATTGTTCAATAATGATCCTGTTACCTTATTTCTGTATAGTTGTTTTGGTGTACTCAACATGTCCATCCATTGCATCTACTACAATATTTATTTCTGTAGGACTTTGACAGAGTTTCCCTGTGTAATTCAGCTTTTAGCTGTCTGATCATTGTCTTCAGCCAAAATTCTCCCTTCACACTTTTGCATTATCACCTCCTAAGTACATAAAGATTAATCATCTGCTTACTGTAATATCTCATATACATGCTGCACCGCTGATGCCTGAGGTCATTTTAATACTTAAGAAGATGATGCTTAGCTGTACCTGTCCAGTGTATTTTTTTTTAATTCTTGACTGCCACCATTTTATTGGACTTCTTTGACATCCACACTTTTTGGGTAAATCTTGTCTTCCACCAGCTGAATATTGAGATAATCAAGATCATTGCCTTCAGCCTCACCCAGAAATCATACTACTTTGTCATTTTCTTCAGTCAAACCAGGCTGTTGGTAACCTTGGCACCTGCTTAGCCCCAAGTTGAGTTAATTAACTTGTAGTGTACTGCAATGCAAAGACTTCTTGCTTCTATGTTCGCAGCATCGTCTCTGTCCCCCACCTCATCACTGAACCCCTCTGCATGACCAGATTGACTAATCCAGCATTGTCCTTGCAGCCTCCACCTCCCGTGAACTCCAATTTGCTCAAAATACTTAATATATTCTGCCCTCATTGATAGTCAATCTCGTGTATGTGTAAAGTGTCTAGCTTTAAATCGCTAAATGGCTGATGCACATTGTGGCTCCCTTTTTCTCAAGTTCTATATTACTCCGAACTCCTCTTTTTTACCTGAATGCTTTTATACATCTCTGCTTTATTTGTTCACTATTGCCTGACCTGCCACTTTGATACTAATCTCTGGAAAGACATCTCTTGACCCAAGACTCGACCTTCCTAATTTCTCCCTTCTGCCCAGTGTCGCCTTTTATCCTTGTTCATTTCTGAAATGTCTGGCATAAAGTTAAGTCTTTGTCTTATTGCTGATGTCAAAGGTCCAACTGTAGTCTCTGAAACTTACAAGGGAGTTCTTTTGTCTCCTGCATAACATTCCTTTGTCAGCATTTGATTAACTAGTCATTCTTCTTTTAGCTTCTTGTGAGGTCATGCCTTCTATAAAATGGTTGCTAGATTTTTCTGTGCAGTATATATTCCTCTGATTCATAATGATTCACTGTATGAAATGTACTATGAGGATTTCTGAAAAATGTAATCAGCTGACATATAAATGCAAAGCTTTCATTTGATCAGGCCACTGGAAGAAAAGCCAACAGTGATTTTCCTCCACCTGTGTTATAAATCAATCTTGAAAGTGCTTCTGGCTGTGAGGAACAAAAGCACTGATATTTGTCCTGATTATTCTCTAATACAACCAACATTTTTGTTATGGGTGACTGCTACTCCAGAAATGACAAATTTCCTGTTACCACACTTAATAACAACCATTCTTACCTGTCTTTATAATCCTCCCATTGGGTGTTGAGCTTTGCTTCTTCTGAAGCAAGTTAATCTTGAAGTGTGCAGGTTTGAATTTGCATGTGCCTTGGAATCCATGGATTGCCACAATTCAAAAGCAGTTCCAACAGACCAGTAAGATGTACGCTTACATCTCCCGTCCTCCATGAACTCTATTCCAAATCTTAATCATGCTGTCATCGGGAATAGGAGGGGGATGTAGATATATCAGCAAGGTAAGTAGCAGACGTAGTTCAATGTGGAAAAATGTAAATTAAGAATAAGGAACAGAAAAACACCTTAAATGCTAAAATCTTACATGGAATAGAGATACAGAGGAGGGGTCTTAAGATTTTCTCGAAGGCTATGTTTTGGTTTTTGGGAGCTGTATTTCCATTCTCGCTTACTCACTCAGTTACATTATAACATTATTTTCTGTATTGGGTTTGATGTGGATATTATGCCTGGCACAGTAATAGAATTATAAGAATTAATCAACATTCTCAATAATTATAATCCTCCCATTTAAAGACAGAACCACATCTAACAAGGAAAGCATTAAATTCCTAGATATCTCAGTGTTGAAGCTGGCACGTGACAATAGATAATTTGGTAAATTGGTAAGTAAAGTTATTTTCAAAATAACTGACCCACACAAATCCATTACCCTCAACACACCTTCAGTAGATTGGTGAGGTCACAGTTCATGCATTTCTATTGAATATGCACAAAGCTGGAACATTTTACCAGGCAGTTAACACCTTCTTTACTAAATCTCAGATCACAGTCTCTAATTTAAATTTAGCAGCTAACACAATATTCATTACAATAGCATGCAACATATTTAACCCCATATATTAGCTCCTGAGCACATGCAGTCTTGAGCTAGGAATTCTGTGCTCATTTGCAAGGAATTTATTATCTCAATGATTTCAAGTTTTCCCAACTCCCAGTTAGCTGATTATGTCTTTGTGGACTGGTTTAAAAACTGTTCTTTCTCCTCTGCACCCTGGTTCAGGCTCCTTCTCTTCACCAGCCCCTTCCCAGGCAAGGTCATCCTCTGCTCTTCCCACACTCCCTTACAGCTTCCAATTCTCCCCTCCTTAGACCCATTGCCTTCTCCTCTCATGGACACATCTTCCTCCTTCATCACACTATTTTGCAGCCTCCTCCTTTGCCCCTCTTGCATACTCCCTCTGGCCACTTACTGCCTCTTCCTTCCCTCTCTTTTAGGCTTGTCTTCCTCTTCCCGTTTTGCTTCCTATCCCTCCTGCTCCAACTCTCTTACGACCTCCCCAAGCCTCCTCGCGGCTTTCTCTCCTTAACCGGTCTCTGGAAACCTCCTTCCAACACCCTAGGGTCCTCCACCCAATTCCCCTGCATTCTTGTTCTCTCTGCTTTGTAAATTCTTTATTCTCTGTCCCCCTTTATCCCTCAGCCATCTTCTTCTCCCAACTCCCTTGCAGTCTCCTGTGACTTGATCCCCCACAACTTGCCCAGTCCCCTCATACTTCATGTAGCCTCCTTTTCTCCCCAGTATATTTGTATCTCCACTCCCTCACACCCGCAACCACCTTCTCCATGTCCTCCCATGCAGCCGACTTCTCTGGCATCCCCTACCAGCAATTACACAGGAGACACCACTCTGTGATTGTAAGAGCGTGGCCTCATCAATTATCTCCCATGTGCAGGAGCACCGTCTCTCAGGTAGTCTCCATCAATTCTTTTTGCAGTTATTCTGGGGGCTTTGGACGCAGATGTGAGATCTGCCCCTTGTGTGTTTGTGTGCTGGTTTAGAGTGACTGCAGTTGCCAATATCTGGGTTGTTAAAGGTGATCCTGTAAATATATAACAGATAACAAGAAGTTGTGTTCATATAGTACTTTTATGATGGATGTCACAAAGATCTATAAGTTCTCAACTGAAGCAAATCAAATCCTTGACATGTAGGTAATGTTGAGTTTAGTTAAGGTACAGTTAAATTATGACACCCTGTTTCAGGCAACTTATTATTGGAAGGATATAAGAACAAATAGAAAAAGTGCATAACAGTTTGAAAAGAATGTTTCCAGAGAGAGGCTGCTATTGGTTTGATGAGAGACTTGAAAACTTAAGGGTTTTTGTCAAGTTTAAGGAATAACCTGATAAATGTGTTCAAGATTGTGAAGAGTTTAGAAAGAATAATAGGCACCAAAAATTATTTGCAACTGACAAGGGTACACAAAAATAGTTACTCTGGGAATGTTTTTCAAACTCCCCATCAACAGGTGATCAGAAAATGAAATTAGCTGCCAAGTTATTGAAGCAAAGCACATCAAAGTAATTAAGTAATTACTTAAAGCAGAGGAATATTAAGGAGAATGATGATTGAGCAGAAAATTGGCATTATACCAGGAGGTTCATGTGGAGAAGAACACTTTCATAGATGTGAATGCCAAATGTCCACTTTCTGTGCAGGAGAGGCACACTCAGGATAAGAGGTTACTCTGAGGCCAGCCCACATTCACCTCCTGATGTTCCGCTTCAGTGAAGTAGTGGCAGGTGGATTGGGATGAATCACCTGGTCAGATGCCTGGGTGTTCTGCAAAGACAAAATAAAACATTACTAAGGAGAAAGGAAACAAAATTCTCACTTGAGTAAAACCAACTTCATGTTCTGTTATTCACTTGTGAGACATGGGCATCGCTGGCTGGGCCAGCATTTATTGCCCATCTCTAGTTATCCTTGAGAATGTGGTGAGCTGCCTTGAACCACAAAAGTCCCTGTGCTTTAGGTACATCCACAATGCCGTAAGTGAGGGAATTTCATAATTTATTTGGTTTCTTGTAACTCCCTTACAAATGGATTTTCTCACTGAAGGACGTCTTAGTTAAGCAAATCCTGTCTACTTTGTGTGCATGTTTACTGTATTTTCATAGGCATTTGAGTTTGCAACAGGTAATCCATTTCACATGACAAGGTGTAGAGCTGGATGAACACAGCAGGCCAAGCAGCATCATAGGAGCAGGAAGGCTGACGTTTCGGGCCTAGACCCTTCATCAGAAA